GTAGTAGTAGTAGTAGTAGTAGTAGTAGTAGTAGTAGTAGTAACAGTAGTAGTAGTAGTAGTAGTAGTAGTAGTAGTAGTAGTAGTAGTACAGTAGTAGTAATAGTAGTAGTAGTAGTAGTAGTAGTAGTAGTAGTAGTAGTAGTAGTAGTAGTAGTAGTAGTAGTAGTAGTAGTAGTAGTGGTATTAGTCGTAGTAGTAGGACTACTACTATAGACTACGAAGAGTCAGTCGGGTAATACGAAGACGACGATCAATAACAATCTTTCTACGAAGATTGAGGCTACGATTATGAAGCTTATATTCCGCCGTCTAAGAAATATTATAATATTGATGCGAGCAATATTCAATCAGATAATCTTACGGAGGCGAATGCGCAGACGCATGTGAATAGTATGGATACGCATATTCAGAAGGAGACTAAACATACTCGTGATACCACTCACAGTGATAATTCCAAGAAGCCAAAGGTGAATCAGACTAATACAAAGACGAATGATCTTGTGCATACTGGTAACACACAATGATAGCAATGAGAAGCGGACGAGCAGGGAAACTAATCCTACGGCAGAGGCGGGGGCGGAGGCGGAGGCGGGGGGGAGGGGGAGGAGAGGAGGAGGAGGAGGAAGAGGTGAAGAGGAGGAGGCGTAGGAAGAGGAGGATGAGGAGGAGGAGCAGAATGATGATGATAGGAGTAGGAGGAGGAGGAAGGAGGAGGAGGAGGAGGAGAGAGGAGGAGGAGGAGTAGGAGGTGGAAGGGGTGGAGTAGGAGGAGGATTGAGGAGGAGGAGGAGGCGGAGGCGGAGAAGGAGGAGGCGGAGGAGGAGGCGGAGGCCTAGGAGGAGTAGGAGGAGGAAAAACAGGAGGAGGAGGAAGGGGAGGAGGAGGAGGAGGAGGAGGAGGAGGAGGAGGAGGAGCCGGAAAAGGAGGAAGAAAAAGAAGAGGAGGAGGAGGAGGAAGAAGAAGAAGAGGAGGAGGAGGAGGAAGACCAGTGTAAAACCAAGAGTCATCAACAGTGATGGAAATAACCCTTCCTCCAAGCTTCCTCTTCATAGGCCCCCACAACGGTTCATTTCCATTGAAGGCTTTGCCTCGTTGGAAGACAACTTTTTGAAGATCCTGAAACATGCCAAAACATTGTTCTCGGGATTTCAATGCCACGTGTCACCATGACTGCTGCGTCTTCACGATCCGGATACGTGCCAGAGCGCAAGTTTTGGGCATTGAACACCGCATATCAACATAATTGTTGCGCCCGCATAATCCTGAAGACTTCCAAACATGCGGGACTCCGTGAAACTCTTGCAGATTTTGAAAACGAATGTGCGCTGCGCTAAGGCGAGAGCCACATTTTGAAAACGACCCGCCCTCAATGCGTGAAACTCTTGCCGTTGTTTACAGCTAGTGCTCGCGGCGCTAAGGCGAGAGCCACATTTTGAAAATGACTCGCCCTCAATCCGTGAAGGTCTTGCAACGAATGTGCGCGTCGCTAGGGCGAGAGCCACATTTTGAAAACGACCCGCCCTCAATCCGTGAAGCTCTTGCATGTTTTACACCAGTGTGCGCGACGCTAAGGCGAGAGCCACATTTTGAAAGCGACCTGGCCTCCATCTGTGAAGCCGTTGTCATTTTAAAGCTTCAGAGTCATAAATGGTGAGCAGGCCTCAGGCGAAACGCCCGACCCGCCCTAAAAGCTTGCCTCCGGGTGCGACTGGGAGAAATTATCCATAAGGAGAAGGATTGGAGGAGGAGGAGGGGGAGGAGGAGGAGGGGAGGAGGAGGCGGAGGCGAAGGAGGAGGGGGAGGAGGAGGAGGGGGGGGGGGGAGGGGGAGGCGGAGGAGGAAGAGGCGAAGGAGGAGGCGGAGGAAAAGGCGGAGGGGGGAGGCGGAGGAGAGGAGGAGGAGGAGGAGGAGGAGGAGAGAGGAGGAGGAGGAGGAGGGAGGGGGAGGCGGAGGAGGAGGAGGAGGAGGAGGCGGAGGCGGAGGCGGAGGAGGAGGAGGAAGAGGAAGAGGAGGAGGAGGGGGAGGATGAGGAGGAGGGATGAGATTCGGGGAGCAGGGCGGCTCCCGGCGGCTCCCCCCCCCGTTCAGGTGGGGTGGGGGGGTGGGGGATCCCGCGTGGGCGCGCTCGCTCCTGGGCTTCGCCCCGCGGCAGGCGGCGAGCGCCTACGTGGCCGACCTGCAGAAGGCCTGCGGGTGGGGAGCTGTGATGCAGTCGAAACCTGCGGTAAGGATGGGTTGCGTCCGTGCCTCTGTGGTCCGTCCTTGACCATTTTCGATGGCCCGCCGCGTTCGAAAAAGCTTCAACACGGGCCTCTAAGGGGCTTTCATCCTCATCGCGCATCTTTGCTATCAGTTTGACTGATAACGTGGCTGTCGGTAGCGCGGTAGGGCGTCGATTGTTCCCACCGGACAGGTTTGGGTCGTTAGATTTTAAGAACAGACCTCCCGGCCACTCCCACCCTGCATACCGCGGCCGCCAGACCCCAAGTTGTCCGGGGTGTCCCGATTATCCCGCCTTTACCCCTTCGACAAGCACGACAGAACACACCCTGCATACCGCGGCCGCCAGACCCCAAGTTGTCCCGTGTGTCCTGGTTATCCCGCCTCGCGCCCTTGACAAACACGACAGAACACACCCTGCATACTGCGGCCGCCAGACCCCAAGTTGTCCCGGGTGTCCCGGTTATCCCGCTTCGCGCCCTCGACAAGCACGACAGAACACACCCTGCATACCGCGGCCGCCAGACCCCAAGTTGTCCCGAGAGTCCCAGTTATTCCGCCTCGCGTCCTTGACAAACACGACAGAACACACCCTGCATACCGCGGCCGCCAGACCCCAAGCTGTCCCGAGTGTCCTGGTTATCCCGCCTCGCACCCTCGACAATCACGACATAACACAATATGACACAGCAGAACATGACAGAACGGAGCAAGAGCATGACATAACCAACCAGAGGGGAATATGACATAACAGACAACGACATAACACAACATAATATAACACAACCGAGCATAATAGCGGCGAACACACCAAAACGCAACATGTCACACCATAAGATAACGTACCATAACACGAGCATGTCATAACATGACATAGCATAACATAGCACTATTATGATACACAAGCACCGGATACAGCATCGCATAATACATCATATCATAGCATGGTATAACATAATGCGACATAACACAACATAACATAGCATGACCGAGGGACATATGATTAAGACACCTTGGCAGAACATTCCATATCATTGCACTTCAGCTCAGGACATATCATAACACGACAGTGTAGCGTATCGCTACATACTAGCATAGCATGTCATAGTATATGATGCTGTGCCGAGCCGTCCACAAACACAACATCACCGAGCATAGCAGAGTATGTCATGATAGAGCAGAAGACGACATAACACAACATCACACACAATAACCGAGCATACCATAACAAACTATGTCAATACACATCGTATCATGACACAGCATCACATAACGTATCCTAACATGGCACCATAACATTGCGAACTATGCTAACATAGTAGAACATAACATGAAGTACTGAGCCGAGCCGTCAACATCATCACGGAACAGAGCATGTTATGACATAACATGCCAGCATATCATGCAACAAGATAGCGCCGCAACGCAGATCATGCAATAGCATCTCCAACCATACGGTGACATATATGAGCATACCATCGGATATTCAGCCAGAAGAGAAACATATAGGTGACAAGTGGCATCACAACAGACCACGCATCTAACGCCACAGGCGTCACGACGTCACGCCAGCCCGTCGACAACAGAAGAATACATAATAGAGCATAACATGTATTTTCGTTACTACATGGAACACGGTTGGATCGTTTTTGTATACAGAAGCGGCAGTAGTGCAGTGGAGGAGAGGAGTACCACGACAGAACAGGACATATCAACACATGTTAACATGCCATATCTTTTTTTATTACACTGAGCCGAGCGGGCAACACCATCACGGATCATATCATATTATCAAATAAGTTGAGAGAGCATATCATGCTTTAGCATGGTACCGAAGGGCAGAGTATAACATAACGTACCAAAACATATTGAGGCAGAAGCGTGCATGACAGAGCATACTTTCATGAATGGGATAACGGAAGGGCAGAGGGATATCGTAACACAATACACCGTACGTGCATTTTGGTCAGCGTCGCCACAAGAATCAAGAATCACATCAATGAGTGATACAACGGTGTCTCTAGCGTGACCGGCGTCACGATGTCACGCCGGCCCGTCGATATCATAACATCAGAGAACACAGCGTCACATGCTACATCGGGGTATAATCCTACCACACACGCACACTTGAGCGTAACATCGCATATACAGTAGCCACAACTCGACGGTGTCGCCCTTCGCGTTACGACGTCACGCCGGCCCGTCGAGAAAATAATTGGACATAGTAGAACATAACATGTTAGATAGTTACTCCATGTAATCTTGTCCAACGCTTTTGAATACAGCAGTGGCGGTCGTGGAGAATAGTATCACGGCAGAACAGGCCAACACATGACACATAATTGCAGCACATATCATAACACGACAGCAGAGCATATCGACATTGGGACAGGATCGAATCGAACATCACATAGCACAACATTACGTATCCACTGCACAACGTCTTCCTGTTTCTCGCCCTGCACGTGAGCCATGCCGAGTACTTACATTGGAAGCCCAGCTTCACACCGCAATCATCGTCGCGCCACTCCACCTCCCCATACTCTTGCTCTTCTTCTTTTTCTTCCTCTCCTCCTCCGCCTCTCCCACCACGCGCCCTCGCCCATCCCCCCTCCTCCTCCTCCTCCTCCTCCTCCTCTGCCTCCTCCTCCTCTTCCTCCCCTCCTCCTCCTCCTCCTTTTCTTCCTCCTTCCTCCTCCTCCTCCTCCCTCCTCCTCCTCCTTCCTCTCTCCTCCTCCTCCTCCTCCTCCCCCTTCTCCTCCTCCTCCTCCTCCTCCTCCTCCTCCTCCTCCTCCTCCTCCTCCTCCTCCTCCTCCTCCTCCTCCTCCACCTCTCCTCCGCCTCCATCCCTGCCCCTACCCTTTTGCTCCTTTGCCTTGCCCCTCTTCCTCCTCCTCCTCCTCTTCCTCCTCCTCCTCATCCTCCTCATCCCCCCCCTCCTCCTTTTTCCACCTTGCCCTTCCCTCCCCATTCGCCCCCCCCTGCGTTATCCTTGCTTCCCCTTTCTCCCCGCGTCTCCTCCTCTCCTCCGCTCCTCCCTCTTCCCCGCCGTCCTGCCAGCTTCCTCGTGCGGGGGGGGGGGGGCGGCTCGTCGCCGATCGACGCATCGACCGACTCGAGGACGAAACGCGGGGCGAGGAGGAGAGAACGGAAGAGGAGGAGGAGAAGGAGGAGGAGGGGGGGAGGGGGGGAACGAGGGCGATGGGGAGGAACAGGAGGAGGAAGGAGAGGTCCGCCTCGCCCATTTCTTCCTCCTCCGCGTCCTTCGCCGTCCGTCTCGTCCTCGCGGTTCTGCAGGTGTTCCTCCTCTTCCTTTTGCTGGAGGTCGATGCTATCTCAGAACAAGCTTTGGGGTGTCGCAAAAACCGTTTTGGGTTTGGTTTTGTTTTCGTCAGGGGCCTTGGGGTTGTTGGAATTCGGAAAACATCAACTTGCGACCCGGCCTGGCCGCCGCGCTCGCCGGCGCCGCCGGGCAGCGCGCGCGTCCTTCCAGTCGGCGCTCGCACCGTCGGGACCGAACGCCGAAGGTTTTGGTGGGGGTCGCTCGAAGTTTTTTTGGTTGTTTTTTTTTCTTCCCCCTTCCGTTTTTTTGCGTTGCGGCGATTGTTCAAGATGGTGGCGATGATGGTTGTGTTTGTACAGGGTAATTCTTGATGACAAGGAGGGGCTGAGGCCTGCGGGGAGGGGGGGGGGCGGCGAACAGCCACCATTCCTTCTCCACCCAACGACAGGTATTACGACTATTCTATCTAGAGGCGAACCACGGCGTAAACATAACAGGGGCCACGCCAGGAGGCTCCAGTGCTGATCCAACTAATCCGCGCAGAGCTCCGAAGCATATGTTTATATGCATGAGTTTCTTCCAGATGATGGGGACCGTGATTTCTACACATGTAAATAGATAAGCATGTATATGTTTGTGTGTTTACCCATACATATATATATATATATATGTGTATATATATATATTTGTATATGGGTGTTGTGGGAAAAAGGGGAGCTGCTTCCATCCACCTTCTCCCAGGCTTCCGAACGCGGGGAGGGGGACGGACGGAACGGAGGGGCACGACGGAGGGCAGAAGGGAGGGCAGATTGGGGGGGGGGGCGCGGCTTTTGTTCGTTATTTCTTTTTTTTTGCTCAGCGCTCTGTGCTTTGTGCTTTGTGCTCTGCGTTTTTTGTTGTAATCCTCTCTATCCATTCCTCTCGCTTCCGCTGCCTCCTTTTGCTGCCATTTCCGCTGTTTCTTCTGCAGCCTCTCTGCCGCTTTCTTTCTCTCGCGTCCAGCTTCTCTCGCTGTCATCCTTCGTCTCGTTCTCTTCCGCCTTTCCCTCCCTGTTTCCCCATCGCCGCTCTATGTCCCCCTCTCATATGAGCACGGGTTAACGATATTGATGCGTCTCAACATTCCAAGTGCTTCCAGCACTTCCCAGATTTCCTAATGTCCCATATGGGTTGCAGAAGCCAGGGCCGCTATATACTTCGTAGACATCCCGGAACGTATCGATATCCAATTACATGCATGGATTAACTCCGTCCTGCCCTCTCCCCTTCGTTTGCCGTTGCATCTTCGGGGGGACCTGCCTGTCCTGTACGTGGCGGCCTCCCTTGTACCCGACGTGGGCTCGACGCGGATGGAGCCGGCATGGACTCGACGCGGAGAGCGGCGCGATGGGTGACAGGCGACGAGGCCCCCCCCCCCGAAGATGCACCAGAACCGTGTTCCCCTCCCCCCGGGGGAGGGGGAGGGGAGTGGACGACAGAGCGACCCGCGCTCGCCAGGGCGACGCGGCGACCTGCGTGCAGCAGCAGGTCGGCATCTTTTAACCAATCCCCGTCCCCATCCCCATCCCCTTCGAGACCCCTGCCAAATTACCTCCAAGTTGGGGATGCACCCCTCGAAACCCGAAGGGAACGACCTGTATCCCCATCTAGGGGGGGAAATCGGCCAGTGGAACCCAGGTCACGCCGCTGGGGATGGGGATCGGTTAAACGATACTCAGCAGGAGTTCGGGGGCTGGGGCGAGGACATGTTCATGGACCAGTGCCTCCTGAGGCCCAGCGGCACACGCCGCTGGCCGCGCCGCTGTCGCCCCGGACCCTGCAGCCCCCTCTCGGCCCGGGCCCCTCCACACGCCTCATCCTGCTCCTCTTCCTCCTCTTCCTCCTCTTCCTCCTCTTCCTCCTCCTCCTCCTTTTTCCTCCCCCCCCTCCTCCTCTCTTCCTCCCCCTCCTCCTCCTCCCCCTCCTCCTCCTCCCCCTCCTCTCCTCCCTCCTCCTCCTCTCCTCCTCCTCCTCCTCCTCCTCCTCCTCCTCCTCCTCCTGCTCCTCCTTCTTCGGGTGACGCGCAGTATGCACGCGCACTGGTGCTTCCGAGCCAGGAGGGTGTACGTGTGCACCGATCCTGGGCCCGGGATGGTCCAGGCCAGGGCCGGTGCACACGCACGTTTTTCTTTTCCTCTACTCGGGTGTTGCTAGAAGTACCCCTGGCCCAAGGTACGCCCAGGATTCTCGGGTTGGCCCAGATGGCCTCCAGGGCACCCCTCACGAGGCCCAGAGGGCCCCAGGGGCCCCAAAATGGAGCGAAAAGCTGGGGGCACCTTGAGCCCGGGGCACTTCCAGCAACACCCGATCTACTGAAGCGTGCATCGGTCTCCCCGCCCCGATCCTGCCTCTCGGCTGCGCGCCCGAAGGGGTGCAGGCAGAGGGGGCCCGCCTTCTCCGAGGGCAGCGGGGCTCCTCGGAAGCCCTCTCCCGCCGTCCTCGCAGCTCTGGGAGCCTCCTCCGAGGCCGCGGGCGGCTTCCCAGGCGGCGGGCGGGCCTTGGGCCTCGGGGAGGCCCCGCCGCCTCCAGAGGAAGCCGGCCCCCCTCCGCCTGCCCGCGGGCGCCCCGACGACGCGATGAGTCCTGGGTGGCGCCGTGCCGCCCCACCGGCGAGCTTCCCCGCAGACTTGGTGGGCTTGTTTCCCACCACCACCACAAGCTGGAGGGGGAGGGGTCCTCCTCGTCCTCCTCCTCCTCCTCCTCGTTCTCCTCCTCCTCCTCCTCCGCGAGCGCATCGGAGCGAGCCCGAGGACGGGCCCGCTCGATTTCATCGGCTGTCCACCTGGCCGCCAGCCGCGGCCCTCCGGGCGCGAGCACCCAGTGCACGTGGGCGTCGTAGAGGACCAGATGCTACTCACAGCCACAATAATACAACATATCCAGACACTTTTCCAGATATCATCAACACTCAGGAACCAATGCAGCGAGGTCGCTCAGGATCACGACCATCCAGCAAGTACGAAGGCCTCAACACACCCTCAGCGGCCAAGTGTGCTGACACCGTCAGCCACCAGAATGGAGCTTTCGCTCATCGGCTGCAACGAAGTGTGTGTGGCCAGAAGGGAGGGCCGCCACGACCGCGACCACGTATGTAGATGCTCGGCCCCAACACCCCCTCAGCGGCCAAGTGTGCTGACACCGTCAGCACTGGCAGAAAGCTTTCGCACATCCGCTTCAGCGAAGGGGGTGCGGCCAAGAAGAGGAATGGAGGTCGCACAGGTGCTTGACCTCATACGAGTATGAAAGGGCCCTAGTACCCCCCTCAGCGACCAAGCGGGTTGACACCATCAGCCCGCCAGAAGAGTGCCTACGCACATCCGCTGCAACGAAGGGGGTGCGGCCATCAAAGAAAGTATCCTCTCGACCAGCTCCCCGCACTGGCCTCGACGGGCTTCAGCACTGCTCCCGAAACTGGGTGCCGACCATCGAGGAGACGCTCCAGCTTCTTCACATGTTGCTTGCCGTAGGCCGTGGACGTGCACAACCTTTGGCCTCCTTCGCATCGTTGCGCTAATCTTGACAAGCCTGATGAGGCTCCACCGCCTCGAACCGCCTAGTAGGGACCTCCGCCTTGCCAACGTAGTCAATCTGGGCTTGGCACTTGAAGCGCCCGAGCTCCGTTGGCACGCAAGTTGTCGCCTGCAGGTTGGCCTTCGCCTTCTGTCTTTTCGCGCCCTTGCCACGTTGCATACATCGCATGTAGCCGTTCTTGAGCTCCACGAAGCGATGCTGCTGTATGGCCAGCTGCACTGGCGCCCCAAACTTCCGTGGCTTCGGTCGTAGATCGGGGTCCTTTCAAGCCCCTTCCATGACCATATTTTCCATGACGCGGGGGAAGTGCTGGTTGACCTTCTGGTGGTGCCTCAGCCCCGCCTGGTAGATGTCCACCAAAACTCTCAACGCTTTATGTTCGAGCGCTCCTTCGTCGGCGAAGTAATATGTCCACCAAATGCCATGCCGCCATATTGGATGCAAACCCATGTGCAGGGGCTCGTCGATGTCCTTGTGTGCTGGCGTCCAAGCAACTTGAGGAGGCCACTCCTTCCCCGCGCCGAATATCTTCCTCCGAATATCAGTATGCTGTTCGCTTCTCGTACTGGACCAGCCAGGTCGGGCACTATCAGTCTTGCGCGCGGGAACAACCTCAGCCCTTGATGCGCGGCATATGTTCCGCTCTTCCAACTGTCCGTCGCACCTCTGGGAGCAGCCCATACGCTGCCCTAAGGGGCAGACTTTGTTCAGATATATGCATCGCTGACCAACTGCGCCTGCGTAATTCCGGTGGTGTGTGTGTGTGTGTGTGCGGGGGGGGGGTCGTGCCCAGACCCATCAGTGAAGATAGTGTCCGACCATTCTGACGCGTCAGACGCCCAGTCGCCCCAGAGGGAGACTTGCGCTTGATTGGCAGGGGGGGGCAGCGGGCGGCGGCGGCGCGGGTGACCCCGCCGATGGCTCCAGCGTCTCGTAGTCAGGCTTGCCCAGTCCATTCTGGTACCCTTTGTCCTCGAGCCACTTCTGCGCCTCTAGCAGCTGCTCAGGGAGCTCCAAGCCCCTCGCGCCGGCCCCCTCCGGTCATGGCCCGAGGGCGCACGTGAAAACGATGTCCTGGCGCATCAAGTGGCTCCTGACGCTCGACAAGATCCTTCTCGAGCCTGGCTCGATGGATATTGCTGCGACGGCGCCCAGTTCGGACCACTCCACAGTGCTCGAATACAGCCAGCCTGACTAGCCCTGCCAATCGCCGCCCTGGATCCTGCCGCAATGGCCCCCGTGGCCCTGCGCCATAGTGGCGCGTCAATGCCAGTACCCACGTTGTGGTGGCATAGTGTCTTCTTGTGCTGCCATCGTTCAAGTCCCTCTCGAAGTCGCCTCTTCACTTCCCGCGGGCATATGACAAGCAGTGATAACTTTTCCCCCTCCATCTATCTGCGGTATCGTCGAGGGTATCCTGTTCCAGCCAACCCGATGTAGACTGCGCCGAGCCCCAGCAGCTGGCCCTCTGACCATGGACCATGTGATGATCCCCCCTGGCCGTTCTTTAAATCGAGCATGCATCGCCTGCCAATCCCTCTCAAGTTCGCCCAGAGAACACCTCTGATCCCAGATCGATCCGGCGCGCCGCGTCACCTGGTCAACCGTGGCCGTGAACATCGGATCCTAGTACCTGTTCTATTGCGTAGCCAAATACGCTGTCAGCGACCCCCCCTGCATCCTAGCACCTGCCAGATTGCCAGCGAACCGCCGTAGCTGATGCAGATGCTGATCGTCGGCTCCTGAAGCTCCCGCTCCATGGGCCGCTCCGGGCAGCGCGCCCGCGTTCCACAGAGCAGCGATTCTGCCGCCAACCGCCCCGCGTAGTCGCGTGAGCTGGGTTCTCCTGGCCGTCTTGCCCTGCGTCCTGATCTTAAACTGTGCCCTCGCTGGCGTGCCCCCGCGTGACTCGCGACCGAGGTTGCGACTCCAATGTGCGTGATTGATGCCCGATCTTCCTGCTCGACCATCGCGCTTCCTGGCGACCCGAGAGGGGACGGGGCCCGCAAAGCCTGACTTATCCGTCTCAACAATCAGGCCCAACTTGAGCACCTTCCCATAGAAAACCTTCACCGCGTTCCACATATTGTCGCCGCCTTCCTGGATGCATCCCGCCCGCTGCGCCGTCGGGTGATCCGCCAGCGCGCGCGGTGAAATGCATGGCCCTCGCAGTTCCCCCGGCGCCCGCGAGAGGGGGGCACGCGCGTGAGAGAGAAGTTGCATGCGTGCACCAAGCCAATATACCTTGCGCCGCGGTGGTCGTTCTACTCAGCGAGCCAAACGCTTTCACGCATCGCGGTATCTGGTGAACCTGCAGCAACATCCAGAGCAGTCCCAAGTTACAATTGAGCCCCCTGGCCCCTTGGAAGAGCATCTCGCCCTTAACCATATCGTAGCACCTGTGCGCGTCTAACGTGGCCGTGACACTCGACTTCTCCACTTCCATCTCCACTTCCGCTTGCAGATTGTGATCGCATGCGCAGTTTGTCGATGATCTGCTTTTGCCGCGCCCCCAAAGATCGGCCAATGGGTTGCTCGCCAGCCAACTCTTGGATATATCCGATCGCGCGCGTCCCCATCTTCGCACCAGGGTGTTCATCAGCCCGATCAAACGGCATCCTCCTTCAGGTTTTGGGAACCGAACCATGTTGTTGCATATTCTTGCTGATGGCCATGTGCGCAGCTGTTCGCATTTCATGAAAACTCTCGCCATCGTGCGCAATCCACCAGAAGGCAACTTCAATGAAGTCTGAGGTGCTACACGAGTTTGCCCAACCGCCGCATGATCAGGAAACGTCGAGATCGCGTCAATCATCATGCGCGCCGTTATCCGCGGTAACTCTGGCCAACTATGCGCATCTCAAGGCACTGCCATGGGCTTCGCCGGATGTCGGTTCCAGATCTTGTCCCAAGGGCCCATGGCCTCCTCCGCCAGTCTTCTCGGGTCGGTTCTTCTTCATCAGGCCTTCGTGGTTCCAGCCTGTCTTGCGTCGCTTGCGCCTTCGTGTACCGGCGTGCCCTTTCGGCGCCTTTTTGGAGGGAGTCCCGCGCCCGCCGCTTCCATCCCCCAGCGCCTCCTGCACCTTCTCCTGATGCAGCGCGCCAGCCTTTTCCGCGATCACGTAGGCATCCTCTGCGAAGGCATCGACCCCGCATGCCTCGGGTCCCATCGTGGCGAACTTGACTACCCACTCGTCGAGG